CGTGTCATTTTCAGGAAAATGAATGAAGTATGACAGAATCAGGACAATAGGTGTGCCTGTTTGCTCACAGATTTGGAATCTACAGTTTTACATATGGCATGATGTGTACAACACACACATATGGCATATAACACACAGTCACACAAACACACATAATACAAAAGGAAATGGGGCTTACTTGGAGAGAGGAAGGAACCCACACAGTGTTGCATGGCAAAATGTTTTCTGGGGCGACACAACACACATGTCTGCTTGTGGTGCCAGCTTTCTTCATTCTCCCCAGTTCAGAACACCTCCACCCCACCCCCCGGCCAGTGATGGTGCCACTCAGAGTAGTCTGGATCTCCTACATAAATGGACAGACGAGACCCTCTCCCAGGACAGTCCCACACAGAGGCCATCCCACAGGCCAGCCCGCCTTGGCCTCAAAGTCTCTCTCCTCACGTGACTCCAGGTCATGTCAATCTGACTGTCACAACTAACCTCCATGTCAGCCATCTACAGTTATTAATACAAACAACATACCATGTGAAATTATGAAAGCAACTGTTGAAATTTGAAAGCAATTATTCACACTTGAAAATTACAAAAGCTAAAACCCTGAGGAGATGTTGAATGTTCAAGGGAGGTAGGAAGCCTTCCTCCAGCCTCCTGCATGGATCTGATACTCAGAAAGTTCTCTTATCTAGTTTCCAACATACTGACCGTTTCCAGTATTATAACAACAGATTACATGTATGAGTCATTCATTTTCTCTGTGTATTTCACCACCATGAATGACTCTGGAGAACACACGCAATGCTGCATTTGGCTGAGCTGACTGCCCTGGCTTCTTGGCACTTATTTCCCAAAACTTTGGGTTCAATCAGAACAGGGTTCAGAGATTTGGTTATCAGATCTGTAATCTTAATTTTAAAGAGAGTTTTGGAAATTGAACAGATTCCAGCTCTTGCAACACCCTCTCACAGGGTGGGGGGGGAGGTAAGGGGAGTCTTAGCCATGAAGCAGAGGAGAGGAAGAAAAAAAAAATAAGAGAAGAATGGGTCAAAGATCACCTAGCAGCAGCCAGCTCTTCTAGGAAGGATCCCGCCCTTGCCCGGTAGGAGCCTCAAGTTCACCTAACTGGTGGAGGTTCTACACTGCATTCCTTCACAGACATGGTGCAGCCTGCAGGTCACAGCTACACCAGAAAAGATCAGCCAACACCGGACATTTCCAATGTAGCAGATAGTACAACTTTCCTTCACTGGATGGGATTATGGAGATCAAGAAAGGCCACTCAAAAAGAGTTTCGGCATGTCTTATTTTTAATATAAACCCTTTATCCAAGGAAACTGTCACGTTACAATATTGGGTGTTACGTTTGTGTTGTTCTCAAATTTCTAAATTTTAGGGTTGTTAAATGCAGGGCAGCGTACTGGATGGACCCTAAATTCCCAAGTCACTTCTGGTGAATTCCCAGAGGAGTACTAGCCTGGGTTTTTCTTCTTGGGGTCTGGTGCCACATAGTGGAGCTGCTTAGAGGTATCCCCAAGGCTCTGAATAAACCTATATAATTCAGAACCAATTCGAAACTGAGAAATCCGTATAAAAATGATTAGAAAACAAAACAAAGCAGATTGGCCCAAGTTGCCCAGTAATTATTTGGAGACGTGGTTGTGAATGCTGAGCCGCTGCGGTGTTTGCATTCCTGATCTTTCGAGCCTTGAGGTGCGTGCACCCTGGCTTACGTCTCTGAGATGTTCGTGTTTCCACCACTGCTTTGCCTCTGCCACTGAAGCAGGTTTGATAAGTGTTACCCACACAAGAATCAACGCAGTAACTTGGAAAGAATTTTGTCTTTCTAGAATCTAAAACAGATAATCTCCCCACAGGGAATTAAACCTGGGGTGCTGTGCTGTGTCAAGGAGCCGCCACCCCCTCAGGTTCACTACACTGCTGAGTGCCGGGACAGAACTCACTGGGCAGCCCAAGCCAGCCTGGAATTTCTGATCCTCCTTCCTTGGCTCCAGAGTAGCTAGGAGGTCAGCCCCATGGCACAAGCTCTGCTCACCAAGTGTTTTGTTTGGCAGCAAGCTGTTTGAAAGAATTCACCTTCCTTAGGCGCTAAAGATGATTTTGTTTGGATTGTGGAATGGATAGAAATCAAAGACCGTGAGGGCTCAAAGCCCAGACCACTGTGGAACATGAGTAAGGAAAAGGATTATGTAACGTTTTCCAATCATATTGCCTTAGATTTTTTTCTAAAATTCAGTCTTTCCAAACACATTTAAGGGATTAAAAGCGAACTGTCGTCTATGATAAATTATTTGGCAATTTTTTAATCCTGGATTTCCCCACATTTCTGTTTGTTATACTTTAATAAAAAATGACCTTATAAAATACATTAAGATTAATAAAATGTAAATTGAGATTCAACATAACTGATTAAAAACAAAATTCATCCCAAGACACTAAATTTTAAGTTTAAGTCAATGTAATATTTGCCCCGGGAGGACTCGGAGGGTTGGCAATCTGACTGAAGGTCAGGGCTGTCATTCCCTTCTCTGTTGGGAGATCAGCTGCAGATACCAGAGGCTCAGAGACAGGCACAGCAGTTCACATGTAAGAGCCTTGATGGACACTCTGAAAGCAAAAGAAGCTCCCCAAGGTTAATAAGCCCTACAGAAAACAAATCAGAACAAGAATGTGTAACAAAAATTTATAAAAATGCATAGAATTTTCTCAATTAAAAAAAAAGACAGGAACTCTACTAAATACCAGTTGAAAATCCTTGTGTTTCAGATAGCCTTCATGTATGTGTGGGCAACCATCTGGTAACTGATAACAAAACAAAGTTTCCCTCTTCAAAAGGGTAATACAAAACAAAGTTCATACTTTAGTTGTCAGGGAACACTGGCATTTCCCTCCTGAGACTCATAGATGCAACCTTGGATTTATGAATGTAAAAAAAATATATGTGGACAAAATATAATAGATTTATGTACATGTGTGTTTATAAAATACATTGACAATATATTATTCTCTCAATTGTACAAATTTTAATTAATTTCCTCCAATTGTATCAATCTGAAATATTTGGATGCATAAAATCACACATCTGTAAAATGTGCAAACAGGAGGATTTAAAAAAATACAGCATTACAGAACCCTAGTGTGTCTCTCTCTCTCTCTCTTTCTTTTTTTCCTTTTTATCCCTTGTTTCTCTGGAACTCTCTAAATAGATCAGGCTGGTCTTGAACTCACAAATATCTGCCTGCCTTTACTCCTAAGTGTTGGGATTGAAAACATGTATCACAATTCTCTGCTATTCTTTTATCCTTAAAGCTCTTGAGATGAGTCTATGTCCTCTTTAGAATAGTGAAGTTGTGGTTTGTTTTCAAAACCAGTCTTTAGAAGCCAGAAAGGATGGCAGAGAGACCACTGTGGCATCCTGACCTGAGAACACACTGATGTCCATTAAAATGAGGATGGTTACAAACGTTTGCTTGTGACAACAGTCTGGAGGGGAAATGAAGAAAGGAGGAAGTGATAGCAACAGGAGAGGAATTTACACAACAGAAGTCAAAGGATTGATGAGTTAGTTAACTGCAAAGGACCTGGAATCCTGACAAAAACCACTGGCTACTGACGGAGCCTGGGCAAATGTACTTTAACCTGATAAACCAGAGGAAACGAAAATCTTGTTGATATATATGCAACATTTCTGTACAGATTTGAAGGAAACATAAGATTCCATAAATATTTTTACATCAGTGCCAAAATTGTATAAAAATTAGGATAACCAATTGATAAAAATTAGCAAATATAAAACTGAAAATGAAGAAGATAAAACAAAAACATTAAATATTTGTAATTAGTAAACAGGGTCTGTATCTAAATAAATGTGAGAAGCTATTTGAAGCCATAAAAATATCAAGATGAAGGTGTAAAGATGATGATGTGCAGAAACCTGCGTCCCAAAGACTTCAGAGTACCCTGAACGATGGATGTATGATTCTATCAGATGTATAATTCAACAGAAACAAGAGATACACAAAAATTATGCATCAAGTATCATAGTAATAATTAAAATTGGTGAGATCATCTAAATTAAACAAAATACAGCAGAGTGTACATCCTGCTTCTGCTTCACCGTAGTACAAGTACTGATGATGATGTGAGATTATTGCATACATGATATACAATATCATGTATGATATAGGAGACGTGATATATGGGACCCTATCACATGCTCTGTAATTACCTGCTCTTATCCCATGCCTTGTGGTCTATGTACTGAACTTAAACGTGCCGTGGCATATGTGTTACTATTATACACACTGCAGTATATATGTTGTGATTGTTTCAGCAAAAAAGGAGGTAGCTCATGCTACACACAGTAAAATTCAAATTTGTGGAAGATTTTTGAATGTAATGTAATATTCGCATACTCTTTGGCATAGTACTTAGCAGTTCAATAATTTTTGTTGTTTATATGACTTTAGTAATGTTTAACTCTGGCTATTAGGTAAAATGTTTTCATCTGAATAAAAGGTGTTAGCAGCAAGGGTGTGTTAAAGTGTGCTGTTAACGAACACGGATTGCTGCTGTTTCCCTGAAGCAATGAGAATAGATCTTTTTATTAAACTCCCAACTCGAAATGCTAGGGAGTGGCCGGAGAATCACTGAAGTCACTAGGGAGTGATTGCACGGAAATTATACTGCCTATGGAAGGGTGTGCATTAGAGTCTTTGCTGTCTCCGTGTTGTGCACTCCCTTGGGAAAGGCTTCTTGACTGGGATGTAGGTGTACACGTCACTCTGCAGGGACAGGAAGAGCTCTTCCGCTGTTGCTGAGCACAGTATCTAACAGTGCACCCTTGTCCTCCATCATCTCCCACAGGGCACAAACGTCCTGCTGTCCTCACACCCTGCTCATTGGAGGACCAGGCAGGCACTTCATGCAGCGGCTGCACGTGTGCGCAGCCCCAGCTCCTAATTGCTACACCCCAGCCGTACCTGTTTCCTCCGGATTCTCGAAACCGCGTCTGTTCCTGTGGCCGAAGCTGGAGTTGTGGGCTCGCGCAGCTGCCGGTGCCAGGAGCTAAGAAGAGAGACACCCACCAGGTTATTGGACGTGCAGGGGAGAGCAGCAGCGCGCCTGGGGCTCCCTGCCCAGCAGAGGAGGAGTGAACTCACTTTGGCACCTGCGGGGGCCCCTGGAGCCCCTGGGGCGGCCGATGCTGCTGCAGCCCGGTAGCGCTGCAATTCCGCGCGCAGGCTCATCAGGTCAGCTTGCAGGGCAGCAAACCGGTACAAGGACATCACCGTGAGGCTGCTGGACAACAGGGCCAGCAGGAGAGTTGCAGTCAGCAGCCTTCCATCCCGGCAGATCCCAACCCAGGCACACTCCTTCTGCGGAGTGATGGAAACACCCCCTACTTTCATTTCTTCTCCTTTCTCAGGGCAAAACGAAGGGCGCGGTGGCTGGGTCTCTGCAGCCTCATCCATTCCACGACGAGCACGTTGAAGGTCTGTGCCTTTGGAGTAAGTGACCACAGGGGTGGGTCATTTCCTGTCATCTGTGTCTGTGGAGGCTCCCCTAGGAGCGCTCTCCTGACTTTCTCTGCTCTCCATCTTTTGCTATCCTGAAGTAGGTTCTCTGGCTCTGTCCTTCCATGGATTGCTCAATCGGCCTTCCTGATTTCACTTTCAGTTTTTGTAAGAGTTTTCATGCCACCTCCTGCTGCGGGTGATGTGGGGCCTCTGACATGGCTGGGTGGGGGGAACTTGGGGTTCAGACTGGCTCACTCCAGACAGAACTTTTAACAAGAGGCTATTGAAGGTGCTTTCCCTTCTGCATATTCTTGAGAACTCTGCTTGGGCTGCATGGTTCTAGGGAAGGGGAAAAGGACACCAAAGGCCCACTGGTGTAATAAAAAATAATTAATGTGCAAGTCAGATAAGCTCGGTGCTTGAGCAGAAAACTGCACTTGGCTGCAGGACAACGAAGTTAACAGCTCCCCAGTGGGAGAGGAAATGAAGAGCCGTAGAGCACTCTGAGCTCCGTTCCAACTTCCCCGCTCTCATTTTGACAGTGCAATAAAGAGCCTGCGAGTGATATATTTAAGGCCACACTGGGGGCTCTTTAAATGCGGGGTGGATTACAGGGAAGCGTGGCTCCCCCTTTTGGCTTCTGAGGCTCAGTGTTTGAGAGCCACTAGCCTCAGTTTCCCCCATAAACTGTGCCTAGGAGCTGATGCGCAATCTCTACACTGGTTGTACTAGTTCCGCAAGTGTGGACACAGAATGTCCTGGTTCCACAGCTGGACTTGGTGACATGCAGTCACTGGTCTGAGTTGGTTGGTTGAGGACCCAGTACCTCAATGTCAGTTCATCTTGCAGCATAGACCACTGGGCGCTTACTTAACCACAAAGTCACCAACATTCACCTTAACCTGACCACTGAGTCTCACGCTCCCTTCCCTGGAAACCTTAAGAAGGAAGTCCCAAACACAGAAAAGCACAGATGCACACTCCAGAGGTAGGCTTCCCAGGCACCAGGCCTGCCCTCCCTATGTCAGTCACAGAACTTTGTGTGGACCAGTTTCTTCCTGTGAGACAGAGTGAGGACAGTGCGGATCCCTAGGGCAGCTAAAGGGTAGAGGGTGGAAAGTGATCACATTCATTTCAAAGCACAGATGATGTAGGGTTTCCCTCTGTATGTCCTGAATATGCTTTATTACCATTGGTTAATAATGAAGCTGCTTTAGCCTATGGCAGGGCAGAATATAGCCAGGCAGGAAATCTGAACAGAGATAGAGAGAGAGAAAGAGTAGGCAGAGTCAAAGAGTCGCCATGTGGCTGCCCAAGAAGCAAGAGGTAACAAACCATGAGCCTCATGGTAAAATATAAAATAATAGAAATGGGTTGGTTAATGTAAGATATAAGAGCTAGCTAGAAATATGCCTGAGACATCAGCCTAATCATGCTATAATTAATATAGCGTCCGTGTGATTATTTGGGTCAGGGTGGCCGGGAAATGAATGAGCAGTCTCTGTTTACAAAATTTATTGTCAGTTCTGAAACTGGTGTTTTTGTAGGAATAATATCTGCAGGGGCTTCCCCACCAAGAGACTCATCTTCCCCACTTCCCCATTGAGTAGTCGTGTCCTGTCTCACTCCCAAGAGATGCTATGGGTCCTTCTCGTTGTGGGTGGGATCTTTTCTTCCGTTCACTTCTGCGAGTTCTAAAGACCCTTACACCAGTTGCTGCTGTTGTTACTCCCAAATGAGCTCTGCTCTAATCTCCCAGGCTGAAGTAGAATATTGAGTATGGGTGTGAACTGTTTTCAGTTCTGACATCAAATAATGCTTGTGTTACCATGTTCTAGGTCACTGAGCAAAGCATTATGGGTAACGACCCCGGTATAAAGTGTGACTTTTCTAGAGACCTCCACACTGCAAGAGATTACGATTCAATCTTGAGACTTAGTGATAGGATTGTAATCCCATCGCACGATAGGAAGACAGGAGGATTGTGGGTTCAAGGTTAGCCTTGGCTTCATAGTAAAACACTGTTTCAAAATCAAGCACATATCTCAGTCATGTGCTAGCATTACCTAACTGCATACAGAAATTAAAGGGTGCAGAGGAGTGCGAGAGCCAGAGACGGCCCCTTTCTCCATGTCCTTCTGCAGAACCATCCAGAGAAGATTCTTTCGCTGGGCTAAAAGACATCCTTTGCCTTCTCTGCTCTATTGGGCAAAGAACGGATTAGCCAAGCTCTCAAGACAAAGCCCAGGCCAATCTGAGTCCAGGTCATTTTAGAATAAGCACCCAATGTTGGCTCACGGAGCGGTGTCACCCTGCTTCAGTGGCTGCTGCTGCTTCTAACACAGGTTACCAGGGAGCATCTGGAGAGCAGGCACTACTGTTTGTACCACCTCCACAGAGTTCACACAAAGACAGCTGTAAAGACTGTTATATTTATGAATTTCTTAAGAGATGAACAAGACAAAGTTCTCTCTGTGCAACTCAAAGGTCTGTTTCCTGCAGAGGAAGTGGTCGGATGATGATTTAGTCAGAACTTTACTAAATAAGTACGGCATTCTTATGTCCTGACTAACTCACAGCGCTAGTGTATCTGCTCGCTCGACAGGGTATCTTCTATCCTTAGACAGTTTCAGTGTGTCTCTCATATAAGGCATGTCTCTGAATAGTTAGGTCTTGCTTTAATGCAGTGAGTTAGTATGCCTCTTTTAATTGCTGTGTTGAGGCAAAGTAGACTTCATTCCTTCACAAGCTGTAAAACTGTATAGCCTTGGAATTCTGTTGTAACAACACAAAGAAAGGCTGCAGAAGCTATCATTATCTCCTGGAACCTGACTGTGTCCCCCAAAAGCTTGCTTTGGACAGGTGTGACACTGGCAGAAGACGACGTATAGAGACATGTTCTGACGGTGAGAAAAGAAGTACTTTGTAGTATTAATCTCACCATTTCACATCCGTTGTCTTGTTTTGCTTCCAAGGACAAAGTAACTATTTTCTGTGATCTCATAATTCCAGTGCAGGTTAGCTCACACCCATGTTCTCTGTGTCTGATTGTCTAATACTCTGCATAAACGTGTGCTAGTCCCATGTTGATGTTCTCTTCAGTGCCTTTCCGTGTGATTTAAGTGAAGACAGGAGTTAGTTAGATTACTAACTACGGTTCTCAATACCAATGCGCTGTGTTCATGCATGCATCAATCTGATTTGAATCATTGTACATTACTTCCTGCCAATGCAAACAACATCCTGTATTTCCCGAGGAGTGGGTCCAATAGCAACATTCCCGGCTCTCCCTTTTCATTTCTCAGTTTCCCCAATTATACACGCCCCCAGTGGCAGCTGTCCCCAGCATGTGAGCCTGCAGTCCCTCCCCTCCTGTGCTCCAGGGTTTCCGATGATCAGTGTGCTCTCTGTCTCACTGGAGAGCCCTTGACATACTGGCTGGTTTCTTCTGAAGCTCTCCTAACTTCTCCTTTCAGCGTTTCTACTAAAAGTTTCTACGTACTGATCACTGTGTGTTCACCCTGTCTGGGGTTCTTTCATCTTAAATATGGATATTGGTATTTGTCATCAATTGTTTGAAGTTTTCAGCCATTGCTTCTTCTTTGGATATGTTTTCATTCCCACTTTTTTTCCCGGGCACTTCCATTCTGCTTAGATGCCAACAGCTCTGAATCTCAATTCACGTTCTTCCTTCTCCGTGTGCTTCAGACTGCGCTGCATGTTTATGTTAGATATTTCCATGCTAGAATTTCTATCCGACTCATTAACCAATCCTTGCCATTTTTGTGGTTTTCTATTTGAGGAGAAAAGACTGGGTTTTGTTTGTTTACAGGAAACTATCCATGGTGTTATTCACCGTGTAGGTGTTTATGGGCTGCAGAATCTGATTTCTGCACAAATCCACAGGAGGTTTGCTCAGCAATACTGAAAACAGATGCTAGACATTTCAGCCGAAGCAGTGTAAATATTGACATTTTCTTAAAAAGTTATGTGCTCATCCCTTTATTTGGCAACAAATATAAAGATTGAGTAAGAAATGTACTTATGAAATCATTCTTTTATTTTACAGCCTATGTTTTTGACAGTTATGAATATATTCAGTTGTCAGCTTAAAATCAATAGGCCCATCTCATGGTGTGTCATAAGAGGATGTCCAGAGGGGGCAGCTGGGGACAGAGGACACCACCCTAGGGGCTGAGGTCCTGAACTAGAGGAGCATCAGTATCTGCCTCTCTGCCTCTGACCGCACTGCAGTGTGACCAGCTGCCTCGTGCCCCTGCTGTAGTGCATCTGCCTCCCTCTGCCTCTGACCGCACTGCAGTGTGACCAGCTGCAGCCTCCCTCTGTCTCTGACCGCACTGCAGTGTGACCAGCTGCCACCTCCCTCTGCCTCTGACCGCACTGCAGTGTGACCAGCTGCCTCATGCCCCTGCTGTAGTGCATCTGCCTCCCTCTGCCTCTGACCGCACTGCAGTGTGACCAGCTGCCACCTCCCTCTGCCTCTGACCGCACTGCAGTGTGACCAGCTGCAGCCTCTCTGCCTCTGACTGCACTGCAGTGTGACCAGCTGCAGCCTCTCTGCTTCTGACCACACTGCAGTGTGACCAGCTGCAGCCTCTCTGCCTCTGACCGCACTGCAGTGTGACCAGCTGCAGCCTCCCTCCGCCTCTGACCGCACTGCAGTGTGACCAGTTGCAGCCTCCCTCTGCTTCTGACCGCACTGCAGTGTGACCAGCTGCAGCCTCCCTCTGCTTCTGACCGCACTGCAGTGTGACCAGCTGCAGCCTCTCTGCCTCTGACCGCACTGCAGTGTGACCAGCTGCAGCCTCCCTCCGCCTCTGACCGCAATGCAGTGTGACCAGTTGCAGCCTCCCTCTGCTTCTGACCGCACTGCAGTGTGACCAGCTGCAGCCTCTCTGCCTCTGACCGCACTGCAGTGTGACCAGCTGTAGCCTCCCTTTGCCTCCTGATTGCACTGCAGTGTGACCAGCGGCCTCATGCCCCTGCTGTAGAGTCTGGAAAGGAATTCTAGGCACAAAAAGAATAAAACAAACAAACAAACAAAAAGCAGAGTTAAGCATGGCTTAACACCATG